AAGCTGATTGCCGACAGTGACAGAGATGCAGCTTCTTCATGCGCGAGAGCATGTCAGGGGATGCGCGCAGAGTGGTAAAATAATGGTTAATTATTGATTACTAATTTGAATCAGTACATTACAAAGAAAACAATAGCTTAAAAACCAAAACCCAACCGATTTCATCAGAGATTGTGGAGAGTCGAGTCCAGATGTCAGTAAATGATTATTTTCAGAGTGTATTTGGTTTAAAAGCAAGAGTGTTATACTGGATGGTGACTGAAGGTGTTTTAGATTATGCGCTGGTCTAGTTATTCTGAATGGATCGTACAGTAAGATCAAGACAGCAGGTTTAGTGGTCTTTTAGCGTCTCCCTGTGGTCCTGTTTGATATCGCAGCTTGACTGGTGCTTAGTTTTATTAAAAAGGTGGTGGGGATGGGGGGAGGGGGACACATTCTGGATAAATTGATAGTCACGTTTTTTTTTTAAAATAGAGATCATTATTCTCCTACGAACAGACAACTAAACAAAACAGCATGTAATGTACTAGAGGTTCTTACAAAATGTTAATGGCTGCCTTTTTTTTATTATTGCAAAATCTGCACCTCTTCTGTGGCAAATTTTTATTTCATAATGATTCTTACTCCGTGAAGTCAAGCAACAGAAGTTAAGTGACAATATGCAAATACTACTGGCCCATTTTGGGGTGAACTAAATATACAGGACTAGTTTTACACGCCACTGTTTATAGCACATGGTGTTCATCCTTTGCTGGGTCGCTTTAAAAAAACCGGGGCATAAATTAAGGGTATACCCACTTCTCCAGGCACCACTACACCACTGGATATAGTGAATTTCAAGTTTCGTCTTCTGCCACATCCACTCAGCTTTTCTGCATTGTCTTTTCATACTCTGAACTGCTGTTGATTTTCTCCAGGCTGATTTCTGTCTACCAGTCTTCTTGCTGACTTTCACAGGAGCAATATCATCAATAACATTCTTAACTTTTGAGTTAAAGGAATCAAGGAGAAGATCAACAGAGTCTGCAGAAATGCTTGAAGACATAGCCTTCATAAATAGCACACTAGTGTTCTCGTTAATGCATCTCTTTCTGACTGAGACAGTTCTAGATTCAGTGGTAGCAGAGATCAATATATCAAAGAAAATACAGAAGTGATCATATAGTGCTACGTCCTTAATAACATTGGATGAAATGTTTAGACCCCTACTGATGAGTAAATCTAAAGTATGCTAACGATTGTGTGTAGGTTCATGCACATGCTGAATCAGGTCAAAAGTGTTTAAAACAGTTATAATTTATTTTCTAGTTTCGATTTCTGCATTATCTATGTGAATATTAAAATCCC